GTAACAATTGAAGTAATCCAATGAAACACAGGTAAAGCAACAACAATATTTCTATAAATTTTTCAGCCAGCATCTGAAAACTGTGAAGAGATATATTTCTAGCTTCCATTCCTGGATAGTGAGCCTGAAAGGGGCTCTTCCAAATGAGATCCTTACAGCAATTCAAATCCTGGACCTCATCATTCTCATGGTTACATCTGGGAGCTGAACTGATTTCATACTAGCATTATCACAATATTATATACTGTAGTTTTACTTGAGCATTAGAGACCTTCTGGATAGTCAATTACTCACTCTTGCTTTACTGTGCCTCTAATGAATCACCCACTGATGGGTGATTCATTATCTCATCTCTTCCCACTTCCCATCTTCTTTCTACTGCTCAAGCATCATTTTCAACATACTGAGGTCAGCAGTTGTGATGGTAATTGTGGAAAGACAGTAGTGTTGTAGTAATATTGATGTGAAAGAGTCCAATGGTGTGAACTGAACATATATATTTTTACTTTGGTTTCGTGATATTTTTATATCAGTTTCTTCCAGAAATGTTTAAAGGCAACAGAGAAGCACAAGGAATTTATAGAGAAACTAACTCCTGAGCTACAGAGTGTGAGTATACAATATGAAATTGATAGGCCAAAATTTCACATCAGGTTAAAACACAGTGTGAAGTACATAAACAGACATGAGTTCTGTCAAGTCTTAAGCTTACACACACAGAAACAAAATGCTTTTCAAAGAGAAGTACAAAGTTTTCACTCTACTTTTAGTTAATCAGATTCTTTGTTGTATTTGGCATAACTAAGGTTTGAATTAGTAAGCTATCTCCAGATATCATATTTTGAAGTTAGTTTGTTTGAACATAATATAACTAATAGTAATAGCAGTTTGTCTGGATGGGGAATTCTGGCAGTTGAAGTCCACACATCTGAAAGTTGCAGAGGTTGAAAAACACTGTTCTTAATAACATAACAAAAACAAAAGCTTACATTTCCAAAATCCTTCTACCCTTGTAAAAAGTGTAGGAAAGAGCCTATCCACTTAGCCTAATGTGGATTTTCATTCTCATTCTGGCTTTTCATTCTCATGCATGCTGCATTATTACAGTTTCACAAAACCTGAAGTCCTGGGCATGCAGCCTCCACATTAAACACTTGGAAGTTCACATGTGTAAAGGGATTGGAGGTTGTAACTTAGTTTCAAGAAGGGAATTATTGAACGATTATGATTTGAGAATATTATGTTTATTTTTAATATAAAATGAAATAAAATTTATCTTCTGTCCTAATGCATCGATTTTGTGCAGCCTCTAGCTAGAGTGGACATGCTAAATATGTAGAGTTCTGCACTATGTGTACCATATTATACCATGCAGGTATGCAACACTGATATTGGGAAACAGCCAAGCAGGCAAAGAGAGGGGGATCAAGCGGGGAATTAGCCTTGAGTTGTTACTCAGCTGCAAGATACCTAGCCCTAACCACCCCTCTAAGTTCCATGGACAATATAAATTTGTACACAAGAGAAGGCAAACAGACTGGGAAATTCCTGTAGTATAAGTGGAATAAAATAAAATAATTAGCTTGAAACACTATATGTGGGCACTTGATTGTTTGTGCCTAACATCTGGTGAGGTAAACTTTCAGCAACAGGTTGAAGGTTCCACAAAGTCCTCCACCCTAAAATCACATTCAACCAGTTTCTTGAATGTATCTTTAAGGAAGTGCATATGTATTCAAATACTAATTGGATGGTTTGTAGCCATATCCATAACAGATACTTCCAACTTAATAATTAAGTTCAGCATAAAAGGTAAAATGGTTCCATGGAAAGACATGTAACTTGGTCCTTTGACCTTCCAGAAGGGTATTAAAGCTTGATTTTGCCAATTGGCTTGGGTCCCCAAGGGGTGCACTCTCTGCAGGAGCTGGTTGATGGGGTAAGAAGACGTCATCTCTATAATAATCTATAAACTGTCCACAGTCGACTTATTGGGGAGGTGGGTGGCATATAAATTTAATAAATAATAAATAAACTTACTTTCCTTCTGGACAGATTTTATATGCTGTATTGTGTAGTCTGAATATCTCACTTTAATCTTAACCTAATCCCTTTCAAGTACGTGGAACAGTGAAGAGGCATAATTTCAAATGGCAACTGAATACAATACCAGTCAGACTTGGAACAAATGGTGTTAGCATTAAATTTGTTATCTTAACTGGGATTAAAATTGCTGTTAATATTGTGGAGACTTCCTGGAGACTTGGGCAGCATAGAAAGAAATGCCAACTGAAAGTATTTTGCAGCAAACACAAAAACAACTTATGTGTTTGATGGAATGTTTTTGTGATGCATTTTAGATGAAGTCAAAGCAGGAAGAAGAGAAGAAGCAGTTATGTTCCCTTCGGGATCAGCTCAAAGCAGCATTGCAGTTGGAGCCCAGAGAGGTAAAACTAGGGACAGTACATCCAATTTTGCTATAGAGAAATAGCAAAATTTCTCTATACAGCAGGTACCTGATGAAATATTCTTAGAAATCCTTTTTTAACGACTAAAAGGAAGAATTGATTGGGGAAAGGCAATTTACCATGTGTATGAGCACAGTTTCTGCCAATCTGCCTTTGCTTCTGTCAATTCTTCAATTTTATGGAAGATAATTTGGTTTCAAAATTCCTTCAAAGAAGAAGAGAGCTTCAGGAAATACTCACAGATGGAGTGTTCCTGTATTTATATAATTATAGGGAGCTGCATATATATATATAGATGGGTGGATGTGGTCATGTCTCTTGTATTAATTGTACAGTTTTCTCTCCAATGTCCTGTATCCTCCCTTCAATTAAATCTCAAAGGAACACAGTGTGAAGGAGCTACTCCCACAAGGCTTTTTTTAAATAGTAGCAGCAGTACTGCTGTCCTGCCTAATGAAAAGTTGTTTTCATGAGAAAATGTTGGAAAAATTTTCTTTCCATGGGGAAATTCAAAAAAGCCCCCATCCAATATGTCTATCCCAAAATTTAGTGCAGAATGTCACAAAGCCCTTTGATATTTCATGCTTTGATGTGAAATAGAATGTCCATTACATTGTTCTAAGAGGAAAGTTCATAGTAAGAAAAGGTGCCAAGATAGCCTATCACAGGGCTAAAAAAATATTTGGCCAAGAATAATAACTGCCCAGCTTTCAATTTCATCTGCTAACTTTGGAGGAGTTCTGATTAAAAGAAAAGATGGGGCCAGCAAAATCAGGCCATTATATCAAATCAGTGTTTCTTAACTTTGGTAACTTTAAGATGTATGGATTTCAGCTTCCAGAAATCCAATTCTACAGATCTTAAAGTTGCTAAGGTTGAGAAACATTATACTAGATTGATCTTTCCATGCTTCAACAAGTATTGCTGCAGATAATTCATTGCTATTGCGGGCTTAGCATTTTCTGGGTAAATGTGCTGAACTTGTGCCCAAAGCAATTTTTAAAAAAATATGAATCACTGGGAAAAGAGAAGATACACTTATGATTAAATAGTTGAAAGGTTTTGTGCAGCAAATGGATTACATTATCTGTTGATCTAGAGAACAGACCAAGAATCAATGGGTGAAAATGGCAAGGAAGCAAAGGCTATATTTTAAGAGGATCTGATGGTAAGAGGATTTTGCAGTATGGTGAACTCAATGGCTGGATGATTGCCAGGGATTCTATGGCTCCATATTGGATTGAGCAGAAAGGTGGAATCAATGTCCATCTAACTATTTCCAACTCAATATTTCTAATTTTGAGATCATAGTCTAATGGACCTTAGATTTTTTGCATTCTTGCTTATTGCTGTTTTTAATTACATTTTAAATATATGCATTTGTTTTCCAGCAGAATTCTGTGAGCAAACCAGTGAGGTATAGTATGCATCAGCTCCGGGGAAATAAACAGTATGGCACAGAGAGATCTGGGAGCCTCTTAAAGAAAAGTGATGGGTAAGTAATGCAATGATTTCATCCTTAGCAACTGCAAATATATTTTAAAGACAACAAAACTTAAAGCAAAACAACTATTTAATTACTGCCTCTCTTTCTCTATTAAGTGCCTGGGTTGTGACTATTTCTCTTGTAAGTTGCCTTGGAAATATTGTTTTTTGAAAGCAGAGTATGAATTACTAAAAAGAAACCATCAATTGTTTTCCAGGCAAAAATTTAGTGTCTAAAACTATCTGTCATTTATCTAATGCTTATAAATAAGCTTTTGGTTAAATTTCAACAGATGGAATTAGAAGGAGAGGTCCATGTGAGTTTTGCATACTTTCATGCTCACTTAAGTCTTGGAGTACATCATAACATTTAGTTACAAAAAATAAATATCATTTGATTTTCGTACAGTCTGATAAAATGCAGATTAATAAGTTATGTATGTTAAAGCTTCCTTACACATATATCCTTAAATAAAACAATTTAATTCATATTAATCTTAATTATTAAAGTTGTTTACTGGGGGTTACCAGATGTCTGGCAAAAAGGAGGATGTATCGTGTTTGGCTTCCTATTTTTCCTCTGGCAGGCATAGCCTTAAAATCAAATATTCTACCTTTTTGGGTCTCTTGATTTTTTATTATTATTTTGGACTGTTTCACAGCCATAGTATTTCAAATATTTATATATTATGACTTTGTAAATTGATTGCTTCTTTCTTTACCTCACTTGATAGATTCAACAGTCTAGAATTACATTATTTATTTTCCAATGTCAGAAATTGACTTCAACCAAGGGCCTTCAAATCTATGATCACTCTAGTCTGTAGATCACATGACTCGTCATACATTTCTGTGTGAAATTTGAATGGAGTAGCGCTGCATATTCTATGTTATTGCTAACATGTGTTCTTGAAATTAAAATTGGTTGTAAAAATATAATGAAAATATGATTTCCTATACATCTAGACTATGAGTGTCAAACTCGCGATGTCACGTTGTTGTCATGTGACATATCTTGACTTCCCCCCC